AAAGGGATGAGCGGATCGGAAATCCATAGCTTGTGAAGATGGTATTTCATGAGACAGCTTCTGAATAAATCATATTTTATCTTGCTTATAAGCTTTGTGTGACAATGTGGTGTTTTATTATTAAAATGGACAATGGAATAACGTATATAACTTTTATTATTAAGATACTTTATAATTATTTCTGGTATCTTTAAAAAAAACTGAATATCAAACTTTGTTAAGAAAAAATATTCATATTATAGAATTTAAATCTCTTGGCAATCCGATAAGAAACTTAATGCAAGACAAAATGTTACATATATTATTTGAATTTGAATAACCATACCTATACTGGATCCCCAAAGTACACAAAACGCCTTAAAAAAACAACGATACTCAGCGGGATAAGAAATGTTCTACCAACCTCTTTCCTTACTTATCACGAAAACACAAACACCAGTGAAGGAGAAACTTCAGGAATACTGTGCAACAACACAAGTAGTGTTCATCAAAAGTGGATTTTGGAAAAGAAAATACAAAGAACTTTTTAGAAAGCATAAAATATAAAATTTTGCCAAATTCAATAGCATCAAAACGAATGACTGTACAAAACTTTATACAACCATTTCCAACGATAAATTAAGGCCAGGCTTTTTGACATCATAGACAATATATTTTCAAATAAAAATGGAACTAAAAAATTTTCATATCTTGTCATTTGTAATCTACAAATTTACTTTCTTAAAAACCATTCTGATTCTACGCGCAAGTACTCCGAGATTAAATTAAAAAGACGGAGCTCCTCACTGACAATACCTATTGGTAATAATGCTCATCTGTTTCATATTTGGTTGTTTTATTAGACGAAGACACTGATGGCAACTAACAACTCGATATAATGATAAACGTGATGAGTTTATTGTCAACTTCCCTTACTTATGTAGCAATATACCACAATCACCTGCATATGAAGATTATGTCTCCCAGTTAATTCGATACGTAAGTGCATGTTCTGCGTACGAACAATTTTTAAAACGAGGCAGGCTATTGACGAAAAGTTGATGATAGAAGGGTATCAACATTCTCGTTCTCTTAACAAAGAGCTAGGTTCACTTTCTACATAAAATGGCCCTGTCATTATATCAATTAATTGATTATCACTCTCTGTCCCATTTCATGTATCAAAATAAAGTAGAGACTTAGTGCTTTAATTTCCTATTACAAATTTTCTTTCTGAGAATCCAGGTATTGGAAAACAGACTTTGAGGAAATGCAATGTTCTTGAATTTTGCTGAAAACATGCGTATTTGACTACCTTCAGCAAAGAATTAAAATATGAGCACAGCTCACGATCCAAAAATTAAAACATGTTTTGCGATCTTCAGAAACAATTCTTTCATTATTTAATTACACATTTTGGATCAGAGGTTGTGCTCTATATGAAATATTGAAAAAATACCCCAACTTTTGGCCATTTTTAATGGAATTTACATTATATGGGAAAAATGACGCATTTTATGACGTCATAATGCATTGACTAGAGAGAAAATTACGTCATGTTCAATAGATACACGGTCACCAGGGGTCCAAGTTATAAATACTGCATTTTTAACCCAAACTGAGCAGTTTCGATTTTTCAAAAATTCTCAGGGCCAAAAAAGGCCGTAAGTGGCTCTTGCTCTTTAAAGACGATACATTGATCTCTTTTTTTTTTGAAATACAATACATGTATGTCATTAGGTCGAATGTTGGTTGACGTCTTTAAAATTGTTAGGTCATTATACATTTACCCCCTTATGACATGGGGCACTCGGTGGATGTGACCGGTGTCGTCAAAAATCTTTCAGTCTAATATAAGAAAAATATTATGATTTTGTTCCTTGAAGATAATTTCTCTATAATTGTCAACTATTCAGCCACTTTACAGTTCTTCCCTATTCTTTTTTTTCAATTTTCGTATCAACCAGGCTCTGTCGAGAAATATTCTTTAATATAAATTAATTCAAAAAATAATTTGTTACAACATGCACTATTCATGTGTTTATGTAGTCACGATAATGTCTTATTAAATCCGCCATCTATTTATTAAACCCTATGATGACGTACAATTATAAATCTTTCCGAACAGGTGTTTATCTATTAGACCTACCTGAGTTTAAGTTTCTGAACTGTTATAAAATTTATAATCACGCATTGATGACAGACACTGGGTTCTTTATGTTTACTCGAGCTGGTGAAAAAAAATTAACGTTGATCATATGTACTTTTGTCTTTGCAAGAGTTGATTTAACTAGCGTACCAACTATGTAATGTATATACATGTATGTATCATTTTTACAGGTAGCTTACATAATCTCGGTTTGTATTCAAGAATTGTACCATTATCTCATTACGCCTGAAAATTGAGAAAAAAATTAATCATTCCTTACATGAATTTTCCACATTTAAGTCAGCTTCATATACAGATATAATGAAATAAGAATTTTGTAGTATCTGAAATATAACTCTTTCATGAAATATCACTGTACGTTTTTATTTCTCTGTCAGGATTAATAAATTAATTTAAGTAATTTTCTTGAGGTATTCGAGCGTTATTTTTATTCATTAAAATGCCAATATGCATGTACAGATGAACTTCCAGAAATGTGCACGCGTATCCGTTTTCAAATGATATCCTCACAAAACGCAAACTATATTCTTACTAGTTTTAACAGCATGATTTCCAGATTTTTACCTTTTGAAGGAGAAAACTATCCAAAATAATATGTCAGTTAGGAATATTCTCATGATTACCAAAAACCAATTTTAATTTGAATTACTATACCTTCACTGGATTCCTTAACTTTTAAAAATCCTTACAAAGATTAAAAAGTGGGTTCTAATAAATGTTCTACCAAGCCTTATTTTTTTAAGTTCTCACGCTGATATGATATTCTCACTGCTGATATTAACAGCAGTGAAGGAGAAACTCTTGGAGTATCGTATAACAATATTTTAGAGAAGCGGTTTTAATCAGATTTGGATACATAAAGATTCTAAAGAATTTTTAGAAAATTTGAAATCATAAAATTCTGACAAATTCGGTTGCAACGAAACGTAGACTTCTCAATACTTTATACAACCATGCCTACTAAACTTTTTGACATCATAGACAACTGCATTTTGAATAAAAATGGAATTCATGAATTTTCAAATCTTGTCCCTGATCGTCTGCAAACTTGTTTTGTTAAAAACATTCTGATACTATACTCAAGACTCCGAGGTTAATATTAAAAAGATTCTTGAGTTTCTCACTGACAATATCTTTGTAGTTTTTCGAAACTAGGCTCCTGTAATCTGTTGGAATTACCATGGGTTCTAATTGTGTCCTGTTGTTAGCAGACCTGTTTTTGTCTTCATATGAAGCAGACTTTATTTTTAAAAACTTCCACATGAAACGAATGTTTATATTCTGCATTAAGATATATCGAGGTTGTTTTATTAATTAACAATATTCAGTTCACTCCTACAATATTTGGATGTAACCCGCTGAACTCGAAATAAAAGACAACACACAGAGTCTGACATATATTTCATATCTGGATATGCTTTATTAGAGAAAGACTTTGATGGCAAACTGACAACTAAACATGATGATAAACTTGATGTCTTCAACTTTTCTATTGTTGATTTCCTTTCTATATATAGTAATATACCATATTCACCAGCATAAAAATTTATATCTCCCAGTTGATCCGATACAAAAGAGCGTGTTCTACGTATGAACAATTTAATTTTAAGACGAGTCAGGCTATTGACAGGTAAATTAATGATACAACGATATCAACAATCTCCTATAAAGTTTATTTTAAATTCTGACGTAGATACAATGTTTGCAAATACAATCTGTCGTTAAGTTGAATATTGACTGACGTCTTTCACAAAAACTGGTAGACCATCATATTTACATATAACTCCTAAGGATTTTCCCGTTTACCCGATCATGACAAGGAGCACTCGCCGCGATTTCAGATGTCTGTGTTGGCTCTTTAATAATTGAGTTGATTAAATGAACTTTTGAGATCAACAACTATTTATTTTTCTCAAACCGATCGCGGTAGCCTAGTGGAAGGGTGCTCGCGTCGTGATCGGGAGGTACGGGTTCAATTCTGGTTCCCAGCGCCGCGTCAAACTTTTAAGTTAAACGTTTAACAGGTAGTGACTATTCATTCGCCAAGTGTCCGGCATCAGGGTCTTTCGGATATGACTTTTAAAAGGTCCCGTGTCAAGGTAGGCATTGGCATGTCATAAAAATAAAACAACCGGTATTCGACTTCGACTCATCTGAGTGAAATTTTTTTCGTAAGGAATGTAAAACAACAATCAATTAATCGTTATCTTCACATTTCATTCTTAAATAACTGGTTTAATGTCATTTTTAAACAAGGTTGTACTAAAAACGTTTCCAGAACATTTGGAATCTTTCGCGGAATTGTTCTATTATCAATTCATCATTTTTGTTCTATTTTGAATTTAAAAAAAAATCATTAATTGTTTCTTTATTCTAAATAGGTCAATTTCTTCGAAATAACAAACAAAAATGTCAAACTGCTGTATTACCCTTGTAATATACTGCTTCAAACATTTATTGTGTTTACTGGAAATGCATTATTTCAATTGATACCATTAACATAAATAAAAAAAACTTTTCCTTTATGTTTTGCTTTGAATATTCATTCTATTTGTTGAGTGTCAATCATAAGGAAAACCATAGTAAATTATAACAACAAGATATTACACATATCGTTAATCATTGTGTGATGAGTAAACATAAAATATTACGCACACGATGTGATTGGACATTAGATGTGCTTTATTACCTTTCTCGTATGCTGTTTCGTGCAGGATTTAACAAGGTAAACAGCTTACCTATGAATGAGATCCAAGGTTTCGTCATGACGTCGTGAGAAAAAGGGGTTGAGCTTCATAGTGTCGGAGGTTTCTATATAAATCTTAACACTCGGAGTAGAAGTAGCATTTTCCTTCCATCCCACATAGAGTCGAATCAGATTACTTTTTCTCTAACAGGGATAAAGTAACTTCTGTAAATCGATTATAATGTCTAGATCTGGGCTACAAATGAAACTATCCTCCAGTTTGCCTTCTTTTTCGCCTTACTTCGAAAGAAGGGGAGCACGTGGACGGGCTGATTCCGAACCCAAGAATCTTTTTGCTTTGGGAGAAGAGATTACTACCAAAAATGCCAAAGGACAGTCCTTAATTTTCTATGCAATTCGTTTTGGACATAAAGGCTTGGCCAAGGAGTTGTTGGAGAAGGGTTGTGATCCAAATGAAGCAGATAACGCGAACCATTACCCCATACACGAAGCTGTAGATCAGTCAGAGACAGCAATGATAGAACTTCTGAAAGAATATGGTATGGCTTTGCAATATTTTTTTCATTTTTATTAAGCAATGAAAATAGATATAAGAATAAGCAATATAAATTCAGGTATCTAAAATATTACTACCACCAATTCTTTTTTTTTTTTTTTAATTCAGTACTAAATTGTAGTAAAATTTATAAAAACGATGTTTGTCTATATTTTTTTACTTTTCCAGGTGCCGACCTCAATGTTAAGAATCTGTTAGGTCAGACTCCTCTCATGAGAGCTGTTCTTTTTGATGATGTTTTGATTGTTAAAACTCTCCTTAAAGCAGGTAAATATAAATTCTTGTTTGCTTTTTTTACGAAAAAAAACTTATCATAAATTTTGATCATATATCATCAAATTGTTTGTATGTTCTTCAGGTGCAGATCCCTATCAGAGAGACATTTCGGGTCAAACCCTTATCGAGTATGCGCTGTCTTCTGGTAGAGAGAACACATGTCTCTTCCTGCTACAGAATGGATATGAATCCCAGACCATGGATAACATTCACCTGAATCATCTGACCACATCTGAGAGGTCCGGCACTGTGGTCAACTCTTTAATCAATTTCCTGACCAACATTAAGAAAAAGAAGGGACTGGTCAAAAATAAAATAGCAGAGAAAACGCAAAACCTGACACCCTTGAAGGTGAATTTAAAGTTCTCGAAGAAATACGTTTTAAAGAAAAAGAATTGCATTGGTCCAGTTAAGCGAGATATTGACTTGCCTAATTTTGCAATTCTGAATATTCATTGATTCCATGATATTTGTGCACACTGAAATCCGTTTCATTTGTTTAACAGATTATTGTTAAATTTAATTAATAATACTTGTATGTACTATGTACACTTTCTGCATCTAATAAAGGCAAAAAAAAACCCAACAAATTCTTTGATTTTTTTTAATCAAATGCAGATCATTTAAGAAAGGTTTATAGATTAAAAATACTAGTTCAGTATGTATCTCATGAGGATAAATATATGTAATCTTTATGTCCAATACGGTCGGTGAAATACATCATCTCAATAAATGCTTCGACTGTCGTCGATTATCATATGTGGACTGAAAATAAATTTTAAAAATTTGATACACGTATATTCAAGATATATCTGTATATTATGATATTAAGTATAACAGGTTTAAAATGAGGAACTGTACTTTTAAAGCATATTTTCCTGATTTTATACAATTGAAGTTTCAAAAATATAAGACAGAAAGAACTTATTCAAAAAGGGTACTACTGCTTCTTTCAATATTATCCTACGAGTACACTGTAAAAAGTAGTGTTCATTTTTAACATGTTCTTGTGTTATTTGATCCACGGCAGTGTTAAAACTTGAACGCATCATATATTAACGGTGTAAAATCTTAAACACATAGTGCATTTAAGTATTCCATGTACTCTGCTTTAACATACACGTGTTAATAGCTTCTTTAGTCTTCTTGCAAGTTTATTTCTATTAATATTACTAGTTTGTTTTTACCTTTGATTTTATGAATATAAATTTCTAGCTTAGATTGTGTAAATATTCTGTAACTCCCCCGACTGATATATTTTCTGAACAGATATCAATACCTTAGTATATAAATATGTGTATATAATTTTAGGTGTATATCAATTTATATGCATTACATGTACACTGACATGATTAATAATATTCATTATCTGTTTGTTACAATATCATTAAAACTACTTGAATTGTTTTTGTTGAAAAAAAATCACTTAAATGCAAGTAACTGACACATACTATATTGTTAAATAACACCAGTGTTAAAATTAGGAATTATTTCATTAACACATTAAGTGTATTATAAGTGATTTAACTGGCCTCTCTCTAGTTGACCTACATGTAACCTTTTGCCGCCGCAATTTTTTTTTTCAAAGTGCGTTAAAATTGGTACAAAATCAACGCATTTTTAAAAAAAATTCAAAGTGCGTCAAATTTGGGACAAAATTAATGCACTTTGAAATTTTTTTCAGTGTACGTTTAGAGTGTACATCAGCATTTTTTCTATCATGGAAATTCTTTGAAAATATATATATAAAAACAAAAATTCTGGTCTTAGATTTTAGTAATGGACAGCATCATTTATCATATTTCTTTCCAAAACCTGATGAATTGATCTATTCTTATTGAGAACGAGGAAAAAACAGGTAGAAGGTCCCTCGGCAAAACTCTTTATCTTTCCTACCCAAATATATATGTATTTACATATCTGGTATGGCATTGATCTACCTTCTCTCAATAAATTTGAGTTAACAAAACATAGATGAAAAAAGATTTTTTTTTTGAAAAAAAATTATAAGTAAACGAGGTAAAAATTTTAGTCGAGACAGAAAGAGAGAATCTTCATGGTATGGATAAATCATCATTACTCCCTATTCCCTAAGAAAAATTCGATACTCTATGTCACTTATCGGTCCCTAATCTACCGAACTTATTAAAGACTGGATAAAATAAAAAAGAAACGAAATTATGCTATTAAACAATCATTCCTCCATTATTTCTAAAAGACCCATTTCCCTTTTATAATATTTACGAGAACCTTTGGGAACAAGACATCCCCTAAAAACGTTAACCATGCAGGTTCAAATAATTATTTATCATTTGCAAGAATATTTACCAAGCCATGCACATTTTTCTTCAAAATGCGTTGATATGGTCGATATTAGCGCACTTTGAATAGAAATATTTATTTTTCAAAGTGCGTAAACTTTATACCAAATTTAACACAATGAATTTTTTTTTCCAAAGTGGGTAATTTTTCAAAGTACGGAAGTCGTTAGGTGCCAGGTAGAAAAATATTTTATCTAATTATCTGGCGGCCGCCACATAAATAACCGGTGGCCGCCAGAAACTTATCTGGCGGCCGCCAAATAATTTTCTAGCGATCGCCAGATAAAAAGATCTGGCGGCCGCCAGTAAACCTTCTGGCGGCCGCCAGATCTATTTATCTGGAGACCGCCAGAAATTATATGGCGGTCGCCAAATAATTTTCTGGCAGCCGCCAGATCTTTTTATCTGGCGACCGCCAGAAAATTATTTGGCGGCCGCCAGATAAAATATTTTTTCTCCCTGGCATCAATCGGCTTCCGTATCAAAGTGCGTTGTAAAAACGGCAAACAATGTTCTCTTCAAATGAAAATGCAATAATGTTTAACGAAGAGGTGTGTTAAACGGTTTTGTAAGAAAATTCTAATTCTGAATCTCATAGTAATAGTAAGCGAGAATACTGCGGTGTGCCTATTATATAAATGTAAAGATTAAAAGCAGAAATCATGTACTTGTTTATCTTGAGTTTTTGTCGTAATTTCTGACAATTATAGCAAGATAAAAGAGTAAATTGTTGACTTTAACAACTATTATGATTAGTGAACACTATAATTTGTAAGTATACTTATTTATCTCTTTGCCAGACCCTTGGTGGCAATGACATTTTTCTTATCTTCTTCTGCAATTATCGTAACATGCTTAAATGTCGACCACAACTAATTTGTTCTCGTTTTAAAAGAGAAAATTTGGTGCATTTGAGATCCGGTATAAAGAATACCACAAGTCATTTTAACCAATTGTTCACCGATACGACTGTATTAAGCATGATAGGAAGGAATTTGTTGAAATTTTTGGTTAATTAGCAATTTCCATTGCCAGGTGTGGACAAATAGAGAAATGAGAGGTTTTTTTCCGAGACGCGGAGGAAGTAAATTATCTCACCTTAAACATGTTAAACAGGATCAAAATACATTGGCGTTCTTGAGACAAGTTATCAGTACCTTACCTCTGAAATTATCAAAACAGTTGAAATAAGAGTGTAGAATCTAAATAACGTAAGCGAATATCCTTCTAAATTGCCAAAGGTTGAACAATTTTGAAGAATAATGAAAATTAAAACAGCATATTTATGAAGTAAATATCAATGAATCTAAGCTGTAAGATCTATGTAGTATATTAGTATTGACTTGAGTAGTATTTACACACCAGATTTGGCACGAATGACAATTTCTATTATTGCCATTTTATACGCATGAACAAGTTCTTTCTCTCTTATGAAATATATGGAGATAACGAACAGTATTCAAACTCAAAAGTCCAGATATAAAGTATGGATTTTTTCGGGGAAAAAGATCATGAACTGAAAACCCAATAAATGTTTAAAGTACAATTTTATGATCAAATATCCATTTCACGAGTCTTATCACAAACAGGATCTAGATATCAAATTAAATACTTGTGAATTATATGGCAACGTACCCGTATACAGTATGTGGTAAAATGTCGGTATCATTATCGAAAACAGATTAAATTAAGGCAGGATTTTTTATGTTTGAGTTCAATCCCTACACAAGCCTCTAATATAATTTCTATAATTTAAATTTGTTTTATCATAGAATAAATCTTGCCCAAAGAGGTTTCCCTGGAAAATTTTACTTAAAACATGTACAATTTTGTACCTTTCATGAATGTATTGATAATAAACAAACAGTTTCAATAAGTAATACGTTTGAAAATTGAAATGCAGAGACATAATATGTATGATATTTTGGTACGTTTTAAAGTTTAAGTTTGATTACGTAATGTTCAGATACAAGAAAGTCGTTATTATTTTATAAAGCGGTAATAAAAGATAATTGCCAATATAAACAATGTCACTTAAGACATTATTGACAATATTAAACAAAAGTCAAAATTAAACTTTCTTAATTCAGTGTAAAAGTGTTAAGGAAGCTTGTTTTCCTGACTTAGAAGAGAATCAAGGTATTAAAAGTCTACCCAAAGCAAATGACGTATATGTACACAAGTCCAAATGAATATTAAGGATAGAATATATTACGGGAATAGGGAATAACCTTCTAACTTCTGATTGCCTATATTACGAGAGCCCATTCCAACTTATATTTTATGTTCCTCACTACAACAGATAGGGACAGAAAGACTGAATGGATTTAAATCGTTAAGAAGCAAAAAATCAAGTTGTAAAATGTTGTGTTAGTGGCCGAAAGACATCTACTAATAATAAGATCAAAACAGAAATACTGCTTTATTCCCAAAGAATATGCATATATGTTTAAAACTCTTAATATCAGTATTCCAACTACCATTTTAAAACAAATGATTAAAATTTCGTGTCTTCAAAATCGGGTGATCTAAACAATAATATATAGTTCGCCATTTGAAAGCATGTAAAATTTAATCAATAATGATGAAGAGATTATAGATCTTTCAATTTTTAGCGTGAAAATAATGAGGTCATCTATGAAAATTTGCTTTGTAATATTCTTCATCTTCAAGGTCATAGGGTTCCCCCAAATCAAGACTATTAAGTTGGTTTTTATCAAAACATTGATTGTTTTTCGTTGTTTTAAAACTCAAATTTCACGTTTTCATGAATTTGTATTTAATTTCAATATACTGTAAGCGTATTTTATTTGGCTATGTAATCTATTTAGCTCCTTTCGCGGAAAGCAGCTTCCGCTAAATTAAGTACAAAGCTAAATGTCTTGATACACATTCATATAAAGTACATTTTGAAAGCGCTAAATCAAATCCACGCTAATTTTTTGAAAAAGCAATTCAGCCATATAAAATGCATGCACCGTATATATAAAAGTCTAGATTGGGTAGAATGGGAAAAAAATCTGGTTTGATAGGAAAGTTCCATGATGTATATATGTGTTTTAGCAATAATAAAACCTGTATAATCTGTTTAACAAATTTCTTACACATAATTTTGAGAATCCCATGCCCTTAACAGAGATCTTTGCAGCAGGGTTCTATATTGTAATATATATTTTTATTACTCATGAAGGCTAAAATCTACATGATTTTTCTTAATTTCTACCTATTTCTAAGCATGCGAGG